TGGAAAGCTGGTATAGCACCCTTTTCTTTCCCTTCCCTCTCCTTTTTCCAAACAGAATGGCTTTCTAGTGTGGAGTGAAAAGAAGCCCCACTCATTCCCCTTCCGGAGATATCTTGTCTCAGGAAAGTATCTTGTCCCAGTTTCCTGGAGCTCAAACTTTGGGAAACAAAGGCAGGAAATCTAACAGGCTTTCTTCTCTCACTGAAGGATATGAACACAGGCCAAAACATCTGCTGGAATGGGGGTAGGTTTGAGGGAGAAGGAAAAGAAGGAAAATGAGACATACAGTGATGAAAAAATAGTAGATTATTCCAATATATTGTCTTGGAATGACGCTAACATTATTAGATGCTTACATAGTAAGCCAGGTGCTCTGGCAAGTGCTTTATGTGGATTATTAAGGAGAAATGCTCACAATTTGAAAAAAAGTTGGTATTGTTATTCACATTTTACAGGCAAGGAAGCTGAGGCTCCAAGAGGTTTACTCATTTGACCAATATTACATAGCTAGTAAGTAGCAGGGCTCAGATCTATGCCGTTTCTGATTCCAAAGCCCATGCTTTTAACTACCACAGGAAAAGATAGTGATGTTTAAGATCTTGCAGGATAGGAAAGTGTATGAACCCATTTTAGCACTATTTTTCTAACCATGGTGATTGAAATAAAAATAATACAGGGCTTAAGCAGTGGCCTCAGTCAATAGAAATATTTAGTTAACCAGGATTCCATGAAGCTTTTCTGGCCTGGCCACTTTGCCTTCCAGCTGTGATAGTTTCTCCTCCTAGTTCCCAGCTCTGTTCCTGTCTCTGGTTTCCTGAGTGTTACTCTCACTGCCTTTCTTGGCGCCTTTATCCCTGTGGTTCTACCTCTTGATCTTTCTGTTTTTTGACCCTGGCCCTACTCCATGGCTTCTGGTTCATGATGAAAGAATTTATGCTTAAGTTTTGCAGTCTTCTTTGAGAGCTAACCCAGTGGACCTTAGCTAGGGCTCATGCCAATGGCTCTTATGAGTTCTTTCACTTTTGTCAGCTAGCTTTCCCTGTGAAGTTCTCCAGTGCTCTTTCCCAGTTCCCAGATGCCCACCATGACCAGCCCTCCAAGGTCACTTGGTGAGCGTTTAAGCCCTTAGGTCTCAGCAGTACCCTGGGAGAGGACCAACATCATCTGCTGTGGCAGGTAACTTGAGTGTCCATGTATCTCAAAGAGTCTGTACTAAGAAACCATGCAGAGAACTGTTCCATGTAATGCATACAGCCAGGCCAGGCAGCCCCTTAACAGAGAGGACTTTTAACTCACAGGGAAGCCTTTAACAACTATCCTGAGGTGAATAAAAGGCTTAAAATGATTGACTTGTCAAATAGGCATGGTTTTTAAAAACAAAAACTGTCCCATTAACCTTCTTGTAACTCCAGGAGTTATCGAGCTGTGTGTAACTACGACCACAGTCTTTAAAACTATCACATTCACTGCCATGAAAATAGCTTGGTCAAAACCACAGATGGGTTACCAAGGTACAAGTGAAAACAGGAAAATAATGGGACAGGTGGGAGTGGGGACACATGTACACATAAAAGTGAGGCAATTCAAAGAGAAAATAATTTAAGTAGTTATTATAGAAACACATATTGAAATTCGTGAATTTGTCCTTCAAAATTTCTCCCTCCTCTGCCTCACTTCAATGGTGCAAAGTCTGGTTCTGGTGGGATTATTGATTATTGATCTTTCTGCCTTTACCTACATGGTCTCTCTTTATAATTCTCCAATTCCTGTGAAGAGTTAATATCATCCCCAGTGTAGACATGAGAAAATGAGGCCCCAAGAGGTTATCAAACATTTGGGCAGGGTCTGGTGGACAAAAAAATGACTTTTATATTACATCACATGGACTCTAGTAGGCCCTAAAGAGTAGATTTAGGGATTTGAGGAAGAGCCCATATATCTAGTTTAATGGCCTTTTGTTAGTCTTCAAATTAAAACATGTAATGTCTGCCGATTCTGCCTTTATGCAAGGTTGATTAGGGCCAAAAAAGGTACTGTATTTGCAAATAAGGAACTTCTCTTTGGGATTTGATAAAAAATTCGTAGAACAATTATTCTGGCTGGGGAGTTTTTAAAAATGTTTATGCCTGGGTTGCACCCCATGCCAATTATGTCAGACTCCCTTGGTATAGACCCCACACATCAGTATTTTTAAAACTCCCCTGGTGTTTTCCCCTGTGGCCAGGATAAAAAACCAGGGCTCTAAAGCAGTGGTTCTCTAACATGCAGCAGAATCACCTGGAAGGCTTGTTAAAACATTGGTTGCTAGGACCCACTCCCAGAGTTTCTGATTCAGTAGGTCTGGGGTGGGTCCCAAGGATGTGCATTTCTAATAAGTTCCCAGGTCACATGATATTCCTGATCTGAGGACCATACCTGGAGAATTGGGAAGGTAAGTTGAGCGAAAGTAAAGCTAGTCTATGCTTCTGCTCTCTTTCTTCCTGTTTATGAGGTTATAAGAAGTTTGTGTCTGATTCTCCTTCGTCTTTGCAGAATGCTGACTCACCCAACAAGAATACTAGAAGAACATCATTTGTTGTGTAAATGCTAAATAGTCTGTGAGCATCAGAAGTGTTTTGAGTAAGTCAGGCAGGCAGGGCTCAGTGGCTGACACCTGTAATCCCAGCACTTTGGAAGGCCGCAGTGGGCGGATCACGAAGTCAGGAGATCAAGACCATCCTGGCCAACAAGGTGAAACCCACTGTCTACTAAAAATACAAAAAAATTAGCTGGGTGTAATCCCAGCTACTTGGGAGGCTGAGGCAGGAGAATCGCTTGAACCTGGGAAGTGGAGATTGCAGTGAGCCGAGATTGTGCCACTGCACTCCAGCCTGGTGACAGAGCTAGACTCCATCTCTAAAAATAAAAATAAAAATAAAAAGTAGAAAAATCAATCAGGTAATGAATCCCATCAGGTTTTGAATGAATTCTAAGGAGTTTACCACCATTTTCAGTAGGAAAGTAAACATCTTTCAAATAAAATGTATCCTCAAATTTAGTTATGCTACTCATTCTAACAGCATTTTTTAAAGCCTTTGCAGTTACTCCTCTTTATTATTTTTAGTGAAGTCAAGTTATAAAGTTTGTGGACTGAGATAAAACCTTGAGTCTATCAGGATAGGGTTGCCAGAATTAGAAAAACAAACAAACACATGCACACACACACAGGACATCCGGTTAAATTTCAGTTTCAGATAAATGATGAATAATTTTTAGTATAAGTACGTCCCATGTAATATTTGACAACCCTGATAGATGGTAAATACTGGAATGGGAACGACATAAATGCCTGCTGTGGAGAATTGGGGCATACCATATCCGTTTCTGTTTTATGGACACACAGGATTACTTACTCAATATTGTATCTTGTTCATTGAGAACTCAACAAATATTTGATGAATTGATAGAATATGAATACCTAAGATATAAATGCAATATATGAAAGTGTTGAGTGATTTCAAAGAAGGATGCTTGATCAACTTAAGATGGCAGTGTTTTTGATTTAGTTAACCCACTTTGATCATTGTCTAAATCAGTGATTCTTAACTGAAGATGATTCCCCTATACCAGGGGACATTGGCAACATCTGGAGATATCTTTGATTGTCACAAGGGGGTGGGAGAAGTACTACTGGCATCTATTTGGTTGAGGCCAGGAATGCTGCTGAACACCCTATTATGTACAGAACAACCTCCGGCAACAAAGAATTATCTGGCTCACATGTCCACAGAGCCGAGGTTGAGAAATTCTGGTCTAGATCATAGTGCAGAGGATTTAGCAAATCTTTTGTTGAATTTTTCTGGCCATGTCCTGGAGTGTGTTGGTCTCTCATTCTTCCAGGTGTCATGGGAGGAAAGATGGTGTCTCCTATTTGCTATACTGTGAAGGAATGGGTGGAAGAATCTTGATATGCTTCTTCAAAATCTTACAAAACAAGGAAGGTGCTGCTGAGGTTCCAGAAAAAGTCCCAGTCTTTAATTGCTGCTCTTCTTCCTGTAGCCTGGCCTAGATTTGAAGCTTTTGAAGAGTTCATGCAGGAACTACAAAATTTGGGTGATTGCACTATTACAATCTCCCCCTCTTTAGTGAGGGAGACATAATTTTTGTCTCAACCTTCCAATTAGTTCTGGCCATCCAGGACTTGTTTGCAAATGGTAATTGGAGAGGGTGCTGACCCAACACATATTTGTTATTTTGTGTACTACCACTATTGCTGTAATACATGTACTTGGTACTAAACACAGCAACAATGAACATTCATAATACATTGAACAATATCTTATGTTTTCATTTATGTTTACCTCTAATGAACTATACAACATTTTATAGACATATATTCACATTACAGAACTAATTAATTCTCATGATACCCATGGGAAGCAAAGTGGGGGTGGGTTATATTATTCCCATTTTAAGAGGAGATAATTAAACCTTGCCTGGAGTTACACATTGACTATTTGAAAAGCCAGAAGTAAATTACAAGTCTTGACAATTGTGCCATGTCTGCCAGCCAGGGCAGTGTTCTGCTGATGGCACCGATACATCAGTCCCTGGTTAATGCCAGGCATAAATGTCTAATTTGAAAATCCTTTTTAAATGTAACATGGCAGATTGTGAAGGGTGGTTGCTAATTAGAGAAGAAGGATAACATAACAAGGACATTTTCATTGCTAGTGGTTTACCCTTTTTAAACAAAAACATACCAGTGAAAAGTAGAAAATAAAATCATACATTATGGTTCAATAATTGTTTACTATCGGCTACTTGGTGCCAAGTCCTATGCTAGGAGCTCTGAAAGATGAAAGCTAAATATATATCCTTGATAGATATTTAATATGCAGTTGAAGAATCAAGACTTACCTGCAAGAAACATGCAGAGCACTGTAAAAGACATAATATAATCAAGTGCCAAAATGTGTGTATAGGAGGCTTTTGTGTCCTGGAAGACAGACATCTTTTATTTAAAAAAGGCGAAACTGGGGAGAGTTTGTGTGGCAGGACTGTGGCGGCAGTGAGAGCAATTGGCACCGGCCCTTATGTCCGGCTCAGTCAAGAGCTGGACTTCCTGACCATCGCCATCCACATGCTCTATGCCTGGGTCTGAGTTCAACGTCTACTTTGAGAGGCTTGACTTCAAGTTCTATGCCAAGCTGTACGTACTCAGATTAACCCTTCCTGGAAAAATTGTAGAAAATGGAAGCGAGCAAGGGTCCTATGATGCAGATAAAGGAAATTTTACCATTCGCCTGCCCAGGGGCTAGACATGTTAGCTGCTCTTCTGGCACCAAGAAAATCCAGGACAGTGAGACCACTTGTGGAAGAAATAGGTGCTTCTGAGATTCCTGAAGTGGTTGACGATGAAGAGTTTGATTGGGAAATTGAGCAGACACCCTATGAAGAGGTATCAGACAGTGCTATGAATCTGCAGTGCCACTATGGATTTGGAAACTTACAATCAGGAGTGTTTCAGTGGTTACAGGATGAATTGAGTGATGTTATTGATATTAAGGATCCAGATTTCAGCCCTGCAGCTGAACTGAGACAGAAGTTCCTGGCCACTGAGCTGGCCAAGTTTGATCCTGATCATTATCTAATTGACATTTTTGAAGACAAGGCGGTTGAACAGATTTTGAAGTACAATCCTTGGTGGACTGACAAATATTAAAAAATCATGGCCTTTTTGGAAAGAGTCAGGAGCAAGAAATCATGCTTGTTTAGTGTCTTTTTCTGAAGAAGAGAAATATCAGCTACAAAAATTTGTCAGTAAATCTTATCTGCTGGACAAGAGAACCTGTTGTCAAGGGTACTACAGTTTGATTGATGTCCTTCTGGAATATTGCTATGAAACCTGTGTCACTGAAGGAGAGAAGAACGTTGAATCTGCATGTAATATCAGGAAACTGAGTCCAGCATTATGGTGGTTTGAGACTTGGACTAATGTTCATGCTATCATGGTGTCTTTTGGAAGAAGGGTGTTGTGTTACCCACTCTACTGCCATTTCAAGCTGGTGATGAAGGCTTACAGGAACACTATAAAGATATTACAACTAGGTAAAAGTGCAGTTTTAAAGTGTCTCTGGATATTCGCAAAATTTTTCAGGAAAACAACACAGCATACGTACTGAATGATCTCTACATCTCAGTCTACTGTGTGTGCATTCAGAAAGTCAAATCTAAAAGTTGGCAGTTCTTGCAGAAGCCTTAAAGGAAGTCTCCCTTACGAAGGCCCAGCTGGGGTTAGAACTGGAAGAACTAGCAGCAGCAGCACTTCTTGTCCAAGAAGAAACTGCATTAAAAGCAGCCCATTCAGTTTCTGGGCAGCAGACACTTTGCTCCAGCTCTGAGGCAAGTGACACAGAGGAGTCAGACAGCACCGTGTCATCTGGAAATGAAAGCTCAGACTCAGATTCAAAATAAGTTAAACTCAAAGACAGTCCATCTAAGATAGTCAGTTCTTTGCAAGGTCCCTTTGTGGAAAGCAGTGGCCTTCTTATTGTTGATGGTGGAGTATGCAGAAACATAGCCATCCAGGAATCCGATACCAATCAGGGAAAGCCACTTGCCTTTTTCCGGTGTCTTGGAGTGTCTGGGCCTCTGATAGAGGAGTGTGGGGAACAACTGAAGACCACAGTTCAGGCTTCCGAACCCAAGGGCACCACTGCTGTAACAATATGCAGGAGAGACACAGCTGTCAGACACCAAATAATTGACTGTTAAGTGGTTTTATTCATTGTTAAGAAATATGTTAGATTTGGTTTCATTTACAGAATGAAAATTCCTCATTTTTACTTTGTAATTTTTCTTAATATACAGTCAGCCTGCTGTATTTGGGTTCCACATCTGTGGATTCAATAACTGCAAATCAAAAATATTTAAGAAAAAATTGTATGTATACCAAAAATGTACAGACTTTTTTTCTTATTCTCTAAATAATACAGTATAACAACTATTGGCACAGCATTTACATTGTATTGGGTAATAAAAGTAGTCTCGTGATGATTAAAGTGTATGGGAGGATGTGGGTAGGCTATATGCAAATGTTGTGCCATTTTTAATCAGGGACTTGAGCATCTGAGGATTTTGGTATCCTCAGGGGTCCTGGAACCAACGCCCCAGAAACTGGGATGACTTTATGACATTGTTTTTCAATCAGTGAATGTTTTCCCCTTTTGGTTTCCTTGCTGCAACTGTGAAGATAAAGTTAAAAAGTATTTTTACTAAAGTGTACCTAATATTTCAAGCTGAAGATAACTGTTCTACTGTCAGTGTCTCCAGAATGTAGAGCCCACTAATATTTTTATTTTAACTTTACTGAGGTATACTTGACACCCGATAAATTGCCCATATGTAAAGTGTACAATGTGTTGGCATATGTATATCTCATGTAAAACTATCACCATGATCGAGGTGAGGAATGGATTCATTATCCCCAAGTGCCCTTGTGCCTTATTAGTTTGCATATCCCAGAATTCTATGTAAATGAAATTATACAATATGTATCTCTTTTTTGGGTCAGGCTTATTTTACTCAGTATAATTATTTTGAGATTTCCTCCATGTGATAGCATGTGTCAAGAGTTTTTGTTTTGTGTCTTTCATTGTTGAGTACTACTTCATTGAATAGATTTGTTCATTGGCCTATCGATGGACACTTGGATTGTTTACAGTTTGCAGCTGTTATAAAGCTGTTATGAACATTTGTATACAAAAAAAAGGGAAATTGGAGATGGACCTTGAAATATTAGTAAGATTAAGTGGCCAGTGGGAATCTGAGGAAATAGGATTCAACTAGAAAAGAGGGTTAATGAATATAGGTAAGGTTGTTCTTGCTACTTTATGGAAGAGATTAAAAACTTGGGAGCTCTGAAGTGGTTGTTTCATGGAACTGAAGGCGAAAAGCCAGAAAGCAGAGGGAGAGAATAAATAGAAATGCAGAGGAGATACAAGGAAGACTCTCAGGGTTCTTTTCAATACTCCAGTTCCTGGTTCCCATCTCATCCTGAGCCTCAGCTGCATCCCTGATCTACCCTGGTGTCTTCAAATAAATTCCAATTTTTGGTAGATAAATAGGAGGAGTCAAGCAGTTATTGAAGCCAGGAATCCTAGCCAGGGACACAGGAATGAGCACAGAACCATGAGTATTATCAAATCTAAGCCTCGGGACCAATACTTGGAATGACCTTTGTCGTCCTCACCTAGCTTTCTGGTTGGCCTAGGTTTGGAACCCGGGTTGGCCAGAAGAGTTTAAAGGGGTAAGGGAGGGCTCCTGAGGTCTTGCTCCTGTTACTCAGCCTATGTCGTTCTGGTTTCCATTGAGACAAATTTCCATGGACACACACAAAAGGCTCCTTGCTTCCAGAGCACTATTTGAACTTTGACTACAGGTTGTTGGTAGTGATACCTATAACCTCTCCCATTTAATTCACCAGTTTAGCTGGTGCAGAAGACAGATGGATCTTGGAATGACTATGGAATGTCATAAATGTAATCAGATGGGGACTTCAATTTCAGCTGCTCTCCCAGAATTGGTATCTTTATTGGGGCAGATTAACACATTGGTATGCACCTGGGGCAGATCTGACATTTGGTATGCACTTATTTACCCGGCTAATGCCTTTTCCTCCATACCAGTTTGCAAGGTTCATCAGAAGTGATTTGCTGTTACCCAATAGGGGCCATAATATGCCTTCCCAGTGCATATGCCATGGGCTCCGTTAGTTCTGCTCGCTGCCATAATAGTTGATCTTAGAATCGCAAAAGTGATCTTGTCTAGTTGAATCCTATTTCCTCAGATTCTCACTGAAATACTAATATTTCAAGGTCCATCTCCAATTTCACTTTTTTTGTATACAAAAGTTCATAACAGCTTTCTTTATAACATAGAAGTGATCTTGATTGTTCTGACATTTCACAAAACATCACACTGGCCCACTCTATTGATGACAATATGTGATCATCACTGTATCTCGTAAGTACGAAGTAGCAAGTACTTTAGATGTCTTATGCAAACTAGGGGGGTGAAAGATATACCTACAAAAATTAAGGTGGTGAGAGAGGTCCCCCTTCTCAATGGTGAGTGATGGCTATTGCTGAAAGTTCTATTGAATAAAACCACATTTTAAATCAGGTAGTTTACCTTCTAAAGGTAGAAAAGTCATTCATTTGGAACCAAATCACCTACTTCAGAATAGCTGTTTTGGCAAGTGAGGCATTTGCCTCAGTGTTTTCTCTTAGTATTATTTTTAACATGATTTCTAATGACAGATTGTGACTTGGAGGTGATGCATTTTTGTTTCTTAGTTGTCTTGACAGCAACATAATTCATGATATTCTGTGTACTTGAGAATCCTAAAATGTTACAACAATATGATGTTTATTAAAATTTCCCTAAGAAATACACTGGTAGGGCAGGCACAGTGGCAGCTCATGCTTGTAATCTCAGCACTTTGGGAAGTCGAGGCAGGTGGATTACTTGAGCTCAGGGGTTCAAGACAGGCTTGGACAACATGATGAAACCCTGTCTGCCAAAAATACAAAAATTAGCTGGGCATGGTGGCTTGCACCTGTGGTCTCAGATAGGCGGCTGAGGGGGGAGGATTTCTGGAGCCCCAGAAATCAAGGCTGCAGTACTTGTGATGGCACCATTGCACTGCAGCCTAGGTGACAGTGCAATGACAGATAATTCTGGGAAAAAAAAAAAAAAAAGTGGGGGGGCATTGGTAAAAATTCTTTAGGATTGGATGGACTGAAGAGAATTATTTTTATTAAAGATTTTTTTTTTTTTTGGTTACAAATAATAGTGACTTAAGGACCATGAAACTAAATTAAATTTCAAGGAAGGCCAACTCTTAGTGTCTCTTATAATCTCTTCACTTAGAATTTACTTTTACTGCTATGGTGATTTCTCTTTAAATTTCTTTCTGTATTTATTTATGGTTTTATTTTTATGTATGGTGTATTTATCCATGGATTTTTTTCTCTGAAGAATTATTTTATGAAATTGAAATTAAAGTGGAAATACTTCTATGCCCTGCTTTTTTCCATGTGCTATATATATAATCCTAAAATTACTCATGAAAAAAATTTAAAAGGATTTTATGAAACATTTCAAACATATAATTATTAAAAAATTATGCGAGTACCCTAGACACACCATTTACATTCAAAAAGTATTAATATTTTGAAAAATGTAGTTATCTTGCATGCAGCGATGGGGTGCATTTTAAAGTACATCAAAGACCAGATGCTTACTCGGACCTTATTTTCAGGAAGTCCAAAGCTTACAGCACATTCTGTATAGCACTGGAGAGAAACCACCGCGGGAGATAAAACCAGCCATCAGTTTTCTGGCACTCTCTTAGTTTGAAAAACTTTACATCACAAGAAACCAAGCCTTCCTTTCACCTTTTAGGTGCAAACTGACAAAAATAGCCAGTAGGGCTACTACACCTCACAGAGCCTTGCCCTCAAAACATGCAGTTGAACTGAATTTCAGTTGTTACTTTAAAGCTGTACGTAACAAACGTATGTGACAAATGTACTTTCCTAATCTTCCTGAGAAGAGCAGTACTGTGTCGTAGGGGTGAAAAAGCCAGAGGAGCCAGGAGTGGAGGGTGCAATAAAACGCCTGCATTGGGGCACACTACCTCTTTTTGAATCCCTGACTCCTCACTGTGCTTTGGGGAAAACTATGGAAGTTTTCATTGCCTGGCTTATTAAAACGCCACTGCTTAAGTGAAATACAGAGGCGTCCGTAAGAACCACCTGGAGGACTCTGTTAATCATATTGCAGGACCCCACCCGCAGTTCCAGGTTCTGTAGGTCTAGGTGGGGCCGAAAACGAGCATTTCTAACAAATTCTCGGGTGACAGTGACGCGGCAGGTCCCAAGATAACAGGAAACCCAAGGAACTCGTGGCAGGCGCTCAATAAATGTTCACTGTGAACATTAGCACCATCCAAGCTGCCCACCAGCAGGGGCCGCGGTGTATGCACCGCAGGGAAGAGCACGGCCTCTGTCCAATGTCTCTGCCGGTACATCACGCCTCCTCTGCAGGGACTAGGTTAGAACCGGGAGGCAGCGGGAGCAGCGCTCTCGCTGGATAACGGGAGGACTACCTCGCCAACTTCCGCCTCTGGGGAGAAGCGGAGGCCCTCTGCCACCGGAGTTCTGCTGTCTGGATTTCGCGGCAGTTTGCTTCTGGCCCCGGCGAGAACCTGTCCTCCGGGCAAGCCAGAGGCCAGTGCAGGACTCCTGTACTCCAGGACTAGGCGGAGGCAGGTGCCAAGCGGAGGCCAGGGCCCGGAGCCCGGCGCCCGACGGGAGGGCGTGGCGGGGGAGTACGGCGCTCCACTCCCGTCCCGCCAGCTCCCGGGTCGGTTCCGAGCGCCCGCGGCCCGATGGTCAGGCGGAAGATGGCTGCCCAGAGCGCCGCGGACAGTCACGTGTCACGCCGGGCCCGCCGCGCACCCCCTCCCCCGCTCGCCAAGTCCTCGACCCTGCGGGAGGCACGGCCTTGAGCTGTCTCTCCGCCACCGAGGTGCGGCGCGGGCCGGCCAGGGAGGGCGGGCACCCGGGCGGAAGGCTAGCTGTCCTCGCTGTGCACCCCTAACCTGGGCGCTGAGGCTCTCGGGCAACAGAGGAAAACCTTCCTTCGGGCGACCCACACCAGGTGGGGCTATTGGGCATGCGTGGGCTTCCGCCCTGCCGCCGCCGCTCTCCGGGTTTTCGCGGCAGCTCGGAGGGACAGCGGGAGGTGGGGCCCAGGCGGGGCGGGGCGGCTCTGACGGAGCCGGAGTGTTCACCTCCGGCGGCTAGAGCGCTGCGCCTCCACGTTCCCAGGCGTCGCCCGAGGCGTTTTTTTTGTTGCGGGAGGGAGATGAGTCTATAGTTAGAGAAAGGAAGGTCGGCCCTTTCCTCTGAATGATCAATCTGGCGTTAATCCCAAGCGTCGCAGCCCTGGGGTTTGGTGGGAAAGAGAATCTAGGAGTAGTTGGCAAACTCGTGCCCGGCTTCCGTCAAGCTGAGTTTGCGTTCCCCGCTGCACGCCGAGCTCCTAGGGGCTTACCGTACCCGATTGTAAAACCCGGCTCCCGTCCGGCCTTACTTAGTGGGCCCCTAAAAACGCTGAAGAAAGCGCTCGCCTCCTCAGTTTCCCATTACTTGAAAGAAAAATTCAAGGGGTGCAAACCCCGACTGCCCCTTGGTTCAGGGTCCCGCTCCGTGCCGGGAGGAAACCCCGCGGACCCCGCCCGGCCGGCCCGGGCCCGCCCCCCCGCGCCCCGGCCGCCGCGAACACCCGGAGGAGCGGAGTCGCGCGTCGCGCGGGAAGCCGGGCCGGCTCGGGCCGCGGACTGGGCATGCTCGGCAGCCCGGTAGGCTCGCGGTGGCAAGTCGGAAGCGTTTGCACCAGCGGGGCAGCCGCGGCGGGGGGCGGGCAGGTCGGAAGCCAGAAGGACCGGCCAGGGCAGGCTGCTCTCCCCTCGCGCCTGAGGAGCGGGCCGGAGAGGGCGATTGGGGTGCGGAGCCCCGACGCTGCCCTGCCCCGGATTTCGTTCCGCCGCCGGGGGCTCCGCCAGCAGAATTCCGGCGGCTGCCGCGACTCCAGTGCAAGTGAGTCGTGGGGCCGGGACAGAGAGCCGGCCTCGGGGGCGGATCGGACACCAGTCTCGTGGGCCGGGCCTGAGGCCGGGGAGCGGCGCGCGGGCTGCCCTGGGGCGAGGGGGCGTGAGCGCAGCCCGCGCGGTGCCGCGCGCGTACCTGGCGGCACTCCCCCAGAGCTGCCGCTCCCCGGGGGTGGGCGCGGGGGGAGGTCCGGCGGCCGAGATCCGGGCTCGGAGGGGGCGGGCCGCCGGCGGGGCTCTCCGGCCAAGTTGGGGCGGGGAGGAAGGAGGGGGCGACAGTGGGCACCTTTTCAGAGCTCCTGCGTGCGGGCTGGAGGGCTGCTTGGTGTCGAATTGGGGCGATCTGAAAGCGAGGAGCCTTTGGGCAGTGGCCCGCCGGGGGTCGGGAGACCCCTACAGGGGCCGACTCCAATCACGGCCCCACCCCCACAGCCTCGGCGGCGGTGTGACAGTTGGTACCTTCTGGCCAGATCGCAGCGGGCCAGGCGCCCACTGTTTCGGGATTCCCCCACTGTGGCCCCTCGATGCCCCCCGACGACAAAACAGGTGGGACCCCCTTCCCCCAGGAGGGCGCCCCTTCTCCCCAGGCCACGTAACAGCCCCCCAGGCTCGCGGGAGGCGCTGAGACCCCGCAGGGCTGACACCGCCAGGCGGGGACGTTTCGGGGCAAGGCCTAGGGGGGCACCGGCGCAGCCTACAGCTGGACAGTCTCTCCGGGACGCGGCTTTTCCGTGGCAGAGGGGGTCTCCGCTATCTCCAGGCGACGTGTCAAGGGCAAAACCGCGGCAGCAGCGGCTGCCTCTCTCACGGTCTCAACCCGAACTCCGGCTTGGAGCTTTCTCTCGTGGGCGGGGTAGAGTGTCCTAGTCCAGCTAACGGATTCAGCCTGGAGCGTTCTGGTTCATGCTGCTTTCCTCTTTAGTGCCGCGAAGTAGAAATCGGGATGAGGGTTGTCATGGCCGGAGGGAGCGAAGGGAATCCAGGCAGGTGCTTCTCAGATGTTTGTTTTCACCTTCAAACAGTACAGACTTCAGCGGTTCACGCTTACGAAACCAAGTGAAGGGCTGCTTTCTGAAAGGGAAGTTTATTTTCTATGTTCTAGGGCCTCTCGGCTTTTTTTAGCTCCCTTGACATTTACCTTCCTGGACCTTTAAAGATGTTTGGACAGGTTATTTTGCTTTCAGGTTTGGGGCTGTTTCTGGTTGGCTCCCTGGATGTGGAAACGGCGAATGTCTGATATGCTGTGCTGTGAACTCCCCACGCTTCCTGGCACTGTGGGGTTGAACATTCAGTGGGGACTGAGTGGGCCGAAAGAGAGGAGTGGGACTGGTGACGTAGGAACGCGATGGGAGTTGCCTAGAGCCGCCCAGATGAACGAGGTTGGCGGCTGTTTTGGCCTGTGCAGAAGGGGAGAGGGCTGGGCGTTTCATTGGTCGGGTGTGAAATGTCCACAGTCGAAGGAAGGCAGCGGGGGATGGGTGCCTGTCTGGTCAGTGCTCCAAGGGAAGCCCAGGGATGTTTGGTGATTCAGCAGGTGGCAGCCTTCCAGCTCCGAAGACATGCCGTGGCCCAGCAAAGAAGCAAGCAAAGCAAGCAAGCAGCAGCCTGTGCCTGCTGTCAGAGGCGCCAGCTTTGGGGGAACCTCCAGAAGCTGCCTTCTGCCTGTAGCAGCCCACTTGTCTTATCTTGCTTCCTGTTTAGCTCTGGAGGCCCTGGTCTTTCGAGTTTCTCTACTGCTTCTCTTAAAGTATACAGAAATATATAGCATGTTTTTTTAGTCTCTCCATCCCCATGACCTGCTGGGTAGCAGGGGGTGGCCGCTGCCACCATGGAGTTTAAGTAGTTTTTCTGCAGAAAGGGATTGTGATATGTAAAACACAGTTCCTTCCAGTTCTGCTTCACAGAATAGCAATTTATGTTTTTAGTAAAACAGTAATGTATATTTCTGCAACTCTTCAGTGATGATAGTAAGCTATTTGAAATATCCAGAAACTTTTTAATAAAAGACATTAACTCCAGGGATGGATTAAATTGACATCGGAGGGACACAGTTATTAAACCAGTATCTTATTCATTGGAGAATTTCTAGCATCTTGCACAGTGTCTAACTTGCAGTACTTAGTACATGCCTCTGCAGTTGAAAATTTAAAAATCCTTCCTAACAGAAGAGTTTACCAGTATTCACCATGTTCATCATGTATTTTTAAGCTTATATTAATATGGTTAGAATAAAATATGTGCATCAATGCCTTTGCACATTGACATTTAAAGAACGTTTATGTTTTCATAAGACATGATTACCTGTGTTGACCATAGACATTCAGTTTTAGCTTAAAAGATTCTTTTACTTTTCTGGTTAAATTTATTAATTTTCAAACTTGTGGCAGATCCTGCATTTCAGCTAGAAAAATTGTGTGCTTTGCTAATGTTTGTCACGAAAACCAAATGGACTCCTGACTCCTAAGCATAGCCATCAGTTTCTTTTTTGTTTGTTTTTGAGACAGGTTTTGTTCTGTCACCTAGGATGGAGTGCGGTGGTACGATCTTGGCTCACTGCAGCCTTGAACTCTTCAGGCTCAGGTGATTCTCACCTCAGCCTCAGGAGTTGCTGGGACTACAGGCATGCACCACCAAGTCCAGCTATTTTTTTTTTTTTTTTTGTACTTCTGGTGGAGATAGGGTTTTGCTATGTTGCCCAGGTGGGTCTCAAACTCCTGGGCTCAAGTGATTCTCCCACCTTGACCTCTCAAAGTGCTGGGATTACAGGTGTGAGCTACTGCACCTGGCAGTATTTTTTTTAAAACTAAAAAGTGCTCCTGTTGCATGTCAAATATGCTTTAACTTAAAAACTTCGTTTTATACATGACATTTCAGGTAAACTCTGAAAAGTGCTGCTATTGAAAAGCTGAAAGAGTGTTTTGGGAATAAAAATTCTGGATTGTTTGCACACAGGGGTTAATGTCCTGGTCTTTAGGAGGGAGGTGTGAGTGTGCTGCCAGTTCATTCTTCCCTTTACTGTTACTGTCTCTTCCTTCCTCCAATTGTTTAGGTATTTTTTCTTCCCCTAAAAATGTGCTTTCTTGGAGTGAGGTTGCTTCTTTAAGCAATCCTGTCAGAAGGATCAATTGCATTTTCTCACGCAAATTTGATCATTGGTGATTTTTATTTTTTGATTGCCACATACACTTTCCCACCACTTCATATGGCAAACAGTTCAGTGGCACTTGGAAAGACCCTTGGCCCTGGTGTCCTTGGTAGGGGCATAACATGTTATAGATCACTTCGCCTTTTTTGGATGGTAGCTATAGCCACAACAGTCTCTTCTGGAAGAACTTTTATGATATGCCTGGTCTTCAAGGTTTTTGGCTTTTCTATTAAAGTCTTTTAGTGAGGAATATAAATGGCTATTTCTTCTCTCCAAGAGCATCCTTGTAAAGGTTGTTACCTCTATTAAGCTACGCAGTCACAAGAGGACCTTATTTTGGATCAGCCCACTTGGATGTGGGAGTTGGGAGACAGCATTGGATGTCGGGGAGGAGAGAGTGAAGAAAGGGAAAGAGAAGGGTGGGTGGAGCCCCAGGAAGGTATCTTGGTTTTATAACTGTGACTTCCGGATTCAGTAAAGCTGCATTGAATGGCGTTGATGAACAAGTGTGGCTCAATCTCCGCTGGAATGCTTTGCTGTTCTCCCAGTCCTCCGTCTCCACAGATAAACACACCATACACATGCAGTTGCACAAAGATCCACAGACATAGAGACTCAGACAGTGAAGAGAAAGACACGGAAAAAACAAACACACATACTCTGCCAAAAGCCAAGAGCACCAGTGTCTTTTTAAACTAATATGTCAAAGTAGCAGGTTTGAGTTTGGGGGCCTGAAATCACCCGAAGCTTGTATTGAGAAAGATTCCCCTCCACTCTCATTGACAAGCTGATCTGCCCCCTTAATGATTTAAAGCCTTTAGGGCTTTCACTGAAGCAACCATTATATGTAAATACAGGTGAATGGAGATTTAGAGAACTTGAGTGATTTACATTTTAGACTTCTGGTGCTGAGAGCTGAGCTCACATTCTAGTTCTTGCCACAGGATCCTCTCACTGTGCAGAAGCCCCTTGCTTGTTTTATGTTTTTCTCCTTTCTTCCCCTCCCGCCCCACCCCAGATCTCTATTCCCCAGAGACACCTTCTCTCCTGTGCAGGACGTGTATTCTTGTTAAAGATATTGAGTTACCTTCTTTGTTTTTAATTTACGCAAGTGCTTCTGTGCTACAGATTTCATTCTTTTTTAAATTCAAACTTTAAAGCTTTTTATTGTGGAAATTTGCAGGCATTCATAAAAGTCAGAAGAACTTTAGCATTTTATCTGTGAGATCCCAGTTGGTGTAGGTTTATCTAGTGCTTTGCCTTGACTGCTGCTTTATAGGGCTGGTCTTTTGTGTGTCTATTACTTTTACTTACCCATTTCCCTAATAATGGATGCTTAACTCACCTCCACTCCTGTTACCACTAGCTAACATCCTGTATGCATTTTTTTCCTTTGTTTCTTTTTCTTTTTTTTAAGACAGAGTCTGGCTCTGTTGCCCAGGCAGGAGTGCAGTGGCACAATCTTGGCTTACTGTAGCCTTCGCCTCCTGGGCTCAAGCGATTCTCCCACCTCAGCCTACTGAGTAGCTGGGTCTGTATGCGTTTTCTTAATGATCTGGTTGAGAATATCCTTAGGGTGATGGTTCTCAAAGTATGGCCACACCTGGCAGCAACAGCATCAACTGTGAACTGTTAGAAATGCAGATTCTTGGGTCCCAACATTCTAGACTTCCTGAATCAGAAACTCTAAACTGTGTCTCAGCATTCCTAGGCTGGAGATTCTGATACATGGGAAAGTTTGAGAACCACTGCTAAGGCTGTTTACTTAGGAATGGGATGGCTGAATAATGGTGTAGAAACATACCCGTTTTTACTAAACACTGCTAAATTACTCTCCAGCGTTG